ATTAGCTCCCTAGGTGAAGGACTGTGAATCCATCTTTGCATGTCCAGCCTCACCTTATAATAGCTGATCTACAAATAATTGAGGAATGGAAGTGCATACATGTAGAAAACAGATAAGATTTCTATTGTGTTTTTCTCTTGGAGCTCAGGAAGATACAGAACAGTTATAAATACATGTATGTAATCAGAAGATGAGCCATTGTAGGTAGACGGTGAATGACGGGAGTAGAATAAGAGATTTTTTCCTTTAACTGTGTCATTTCATTAGTTAGGAATATATACGGTCACAAGATAAGAAAACCCAATCTCATTGGCTTAAACAAACAAGGGCTATTTTCTCACATAATGAGTAGTTTACAGGTGGACAGTTGTTGACTTCAGTTCAGGTGCCTAGCAATACCATTCTGACTCTATTTCCCAATGTGTTGTCCTGAACTATTGGACCTGGACCTTATACTCACAGTGTCTTGGTTGTAACCTGTTGGTAGCACCTCTTCATCTGGTCCATAAAGACAGTGGGAAATAGAAAGGCAAAAAGAGTTTTTGAACGGCTCCCCCAACTAACTCTTCTCTCAAATTATTGATCAGAACTTGCCCTGACTTTCTTAGCAGTAAGAAACACTGGACAATCTGGAAGGGAGCTGTCATGGTGGTCTTGGTCCATCATGATTCTGGGTTCTGTGCCCAGGAAGAACCAGGGAATGGCATGGCTTTTGGGGAGATGACTCACAGGGCTGCTGCTGAACAAATGTCACCTACCTAGAAAGAGCTAGTTTCTCCTCGGCAATATACACCATCTTGGGCTGCTGGGGGAGAAGGAATCTTTTGTAATGTCCACAGAAAAGAGGTGTTAATGGCAGGAATAGTAGGCATACTTGTGAGATACTGGGCTTGAATGTAAGGCCTCATGAAGCTTTCAGCACCAAATGTCCCAATTTTCCAGATTCCTCATTTACTGCCTTCACAGCCTTTCAAACCAGGCATTAAAAACAACAGCAGCAGCAACAACAACAACAAATTACCTAATCCATGTCAGTACCCATCCCTCTTGTAAGATAGATAATAGCCTTTCCATCCAACCCACTCATGCTTGAGCTGCAGTCTCTCCAGGCCTACAGAAATGCCTTATCTGCAAATTCAACCTTCCATCCTTTTTGAATTAGAAACCAGTAGTTAAGTATTTAATGAGAGTGGCCATTGGGAGTTTCTAGAAAATGTTGTAGATTTTCTTTTAATAGCACAATAAAAGTAGCTTATGACTTTCAAGTTTGGAATATATTCTTCAGGTTTCATGTACACTGCTATTTATTATGGTCCTAAAGAAGACAGGGCAGGAGGAACACAGGACCAGTGGAGGGAACAAGCACTTTGGTTTCCTCCAACCACCCACACACCCTTTTTCACCTAAATCAAAAGAGAAAACCATGTTCTTGACAACACAGTGGTGAAAGACATCCTGAGAGTATTATTAAGCTTTGCTATAAACATAAGCCTACACACTGTCGGGCTATAAACACAGCTAATTAAGAAAGCAGCTGAAGGCTGCTTGGGGAACTTACTTTGAGAGCAGCTGCTACAAAATCTAAACCTGGAGACAGGTTGCAATCCATGTGTGAGAACCCCTCTGCTGGCACCAATGCTCCTTCCGTTGTTCCCATGCCCTACTACTAGCCTCCTGAGAACACTGAGCACAGGCCTCTTTTCCGCTCCAGATCCTGCACTCCTCACCAGCATACCCTGGGACCCCAAAGAGCCTCTGGCTCATAGGTACTCAAACACTGAAAGAGCTAGTCAAGAGTTCAAGAGTACAGTTTTCATTGGTTGTATCAATCCTAATGGAAGGAACTGACATGAGAGAGAGCCTCTATGATTTCTGACCAAGAATATTTGGGTGGGATATGATCAAAGGACCCTTCCAAGCTCGGGAAACCTGAAGGAAGCGGGCCTCGAGCAGCATTTTCTGCTGCTACAACAGCCCGTTGAATACCTTGAGATACTTTGTCAACTTCCTTTTGGTGTCCTCTATGATAAATTGCTGCCATCTTGGAGTGTATACAGATGAATAATAAGAGATCATCTCTTTATGTGACTTTATTGGAGATCCATTGGCTGTCAGATAATTTCTCTCTTTCCATATAGCCACATTGGCATGCAATACTAGAAAGGCATGTCTCAAATCAGTATAAAGATTGACTTTTTATCCTGGTCAGAGCTATGAACCCCACTAGCTGAGCACTAGTCCCAGATGCAAGTGAGAAACTTTCAAGAGTCTGATGTAAAGTCATCACTGCACATCCTGCCTCTCTTGTCCCATCTTCTACGAAGGAGCTGCCATCACAGAAGAGAGTCAAATTAGAGTCAGTAAGGTATGTGTTTAACAAATCTTCTCTGGCTGTGTATAATATGGAGAATTACCTGTTCACAGTCATGTCTATCAGCCTCAATTTCTTCCTTTCCTGGCAAAAAAAAAAAGGCAAAGTTTAAGGGGGAACTTGTTTTTATTTGAATGGCTGGTCCTTGTAGAAGCAGAGTCTGGTATTTAAGAAGTTGGTTGTCTGATAGCCATAGACTCCCTTTGGAAAAAGGAAGTCTTGCCACATTTGTGAGGCATATATACGATGAGATCATTGCCCCAAGTCAGCTTGGATGCCTCTGGCACTAAGAAAGCTATAGCTGCTACAGTTCTAAGGCAAAAAGGCTGGCCCTTTGCTACAATGTCTAATTCATGACTCAGATACCCTATAGACTATTGAGCAGGCCCTGATCCTATAAAAGCACTCCCAAAGCTATGTCTCACCTCTCACTGACATACAAATTGAAATGGTATCCTGTAAGTAGGCTCATGGGACATTCAGAAGCACTTGTTTAAGATTCTGGAGTGTAGTTTAGGAATCAGGTACCCAAGTTAAAATATGGGTATCTGCCTCTTGGGCCTGTTTTATAAATTGATAGAGAGGTCATGTAGTCCTCCCATATACTGTTATCCAAAGGTGACAAAAGTCTCCAAAACCTAGGAATCCCCTTAGCTCTTTCAGAGCTTTGGCTATGGAAGGAAAGAATTGGCTTACTTCTTTCTTTCCCTAGCTTTTGGTTACCTTGGATATTATGAGGCCTAAATAATTTACCACAAGACTGCAAAGTTGTGCTTTAGATTTAGAAACCTTATAACCTCTGTTTTCTAGAAAATTTAGCAGAGCACAAGTGCTTTGGCTACAGAGTTCTTCTGAGGGGGTATATGATACTATATCATCTACATATTGTGAGACCATGACCTGAGAAGACTCAAAATATGCCAAGTCATGGAAAAGCTCTTGCCCAAAATGATGTGGACTATTACTGAACCCTTGGGGAAGCACTGTCCGTGTAATCAAGAAGCCAGGTCATGAAGATTTTCAAAAGCAACAAGAAACTGGAAATCTATAGATAAAGAAACACAAAAGGAGGCATCTTTTAAATCTAACACTGAAAACCAACTGGCATCTTCTGGAATCTGAAAAAGGATAGTGTATGGGTTAGGTACCACTGGGTGAATGGGCACTACTGCCTCATTTATCAATCTAAGGTCCTATACTAACTTCCATTCCCCATTGGGTTTTTGAATTCCCAAGATCAGAGTATTCCATGAGCTGTTACAGGCTCAAGTAAACCTTATGCCCTTAGGTCATCAACTGTAGGTAATAATGCTCTCTTAACTTCAGGTTTTAAAGGATTTGTCTCCTCTGAGATGTATCTCTACTGGAGCAACTCGTGTGGCCCTACCTATTTTACCTGTAGTTGTCCATACTTCAAGATTTATTTGTGTCTCCACAAAAGGCAGCCTGCCTGACCTGATGCATAAATATTACAGTATTTAGACAACATAAAACATCTCTCCTCAAGAGGAGAACTGGACTCTCAGACATAATAAAAAAGGAATGTATAAAAAGAAAGCCATCCCAGTTACCACCTAAGGACTGTGAAAAGTAGCAAATTACCTCCTCTCCAGTGACTGCTTTAGCTGAGGTATGATGACCTGCTGGAAGGAAGGTCAGGACTGAAAAGAAAGACTGAGAAATAATGTGGTGGTCTCCAGCAATAGACTGGTTTCCTTTCCCTCTAGAGTCATGATTATCCTTGGCTCCTTTGTGGAAAAGACATGGGGCCAGAGGGAGAATGCCAGAGTGCACCAGGGCCCTTCAGTCTTCTGGACCAACTGGTAGGGTGAGTCTGAACTTTGTCTCAGAGGGCAGTCCAACCTGCAGTGGCCAGGAGAGATACAAGGGTCTCTGTGATAGGGATTTGCTGGCCATACCACATTCTTCCTTATCCTAAAGCTTGTTGTTTTCGCTCTCCCTTCAGGCCCACCTAAAATCGCCCATCTCCCTAGATCACCGGAAGGCGGACTTGTCCTTCAGTTCTTCTGCGTGACATCAACTCCTGGAGAAACCTCTAACCTGCCCTCCATGTCTGGATGGGGTGCTTCCTCTTTGTGTCCTGAGACCTCAGAACCCCTCCTCCCAACACACACACACACACACACACACACACACACACACACACACACACAGAGGATTCTGTGTTTCAGTTGCACATGGGTTGGCTTTCCTTTTCCAGACCATGAATTCCACTAGGGCAAGAGGTTATCATGTTCTCTCCTTTGTTCCTGCTGGAGCTTAGCAAGGGCTCAGGAAATTCTGGAATGAATTCTAAGAGTGGTGTCCTCAAAGTGACTGAGGTGGGCTACAGGTCGCCTGCACAACAGCCCCTATCTGGGAATCTCCAGCCCTAGGTCCCAGGACTACATACCTGGGAGGCGCAACGCGCTCTGGGCCCGCCTCCTGGGAACCAGAGCTACTCCGCCTGCCCAGGCAGCGTCCCTGATCTCGAGGCGGCAGCGGCGGCTGCAGGGCTGGAGCCCGCGAGCAGGTGGGGGCGGAGGCCCCGCCTCCACGTCCCGGCAACACCAGAGCTGGGCCGGCGCTAACCGGGCTCAGTGAGCGCAGCGAGGACCTCAGCGCGGAGCGCAGCGGCTGCACCGGCGCCGCCTCGGAGCACGGGCGCTGCAGGACGGAGTCCGAAACCAGCAGGCAGCGGCGCGGACGGAGGCGGGAGCTCGAGTCCAGTCCGGCCCAGCAAGATCCGCGGCAGGTAGCGGCTCCGCGCGCTTGCGCTTGTGCAGGTCGGTGCCCTAGGGGGAAGGGGTGGTGTCGTGGCCGTTGCTCAGGCCAGTCCTCAGGCACGGTGGCCTCGGGCGGAGGCAGAGGTGCTGCGCGCTTGCCAGGGCCCAAGAGACCCCCTCCAGGTTGCAGCCCTGGCACCCACCACCGCTGGCTACCTTGCTGCCTGGCCCCGGCCAGAAAGGGACCACGGAAGGCACGAGGTCACCGGGGGTTGCTGGTGACTCCCCAGGACCGTGACAGCCCCTGGTGCCAAGGCCTTCTCGGCCTGGCCCTTCTCGAGGCTCTGCTTCCCTCACCCCGGAACAAAAGGCTGGAGTATGGCTGGGATGGGGCTGTCGCGGGAAGCCTGGGGCTAGGGAATCGCAGGGCCAGAGGTGCCTTTGGAAATGCAGACGCAACCTCCGTGAGAAAGTCAACTCTAGAGATGAGAAGTGACTTGCCCAAGGTCACACAGCTTCTAGTGGCGGCGCGGGGGGGGGGGGTGCGGTGTGCAGAAGTCCTGACTCCCCTTTCCGGACCTCACCTCCAAGCCCCTGTAGCCAATATTCAGACTGCTCCAGCAGTCATCTGACCACAGAGGGGCTTTAGAATCCTTTGCAGGGGTCGAGGAGACGGTGCCAAAGGCACCCCGTCCCAGTCTACCCGGAGTGGGGTGTGACGCTCCTCCGTCCGGCGTCCCTGGGGAAGCTGGCCGGTCCCCGTGGGCTGGCAGGCACCGACCCTTAGGAACAGCGCCTTCTGAGGTGGCGTGGGTGCGCCTGAAACCCGCGTGGTGCGGTGTGGGAACCGACTGTGCACGCTCGCTGGAAAGAAGTTTTTCAAGAAAAGGCTGGGACAGCTGCTCCAGGCGCGCTGGGACAGACTGGCAGCCACCTTGCTTTCGTGACTGTCTGCATTTGGAAAGAAAGTTACTTTGCAGCAGGAAGTTGGGCTGTCACTTTGCCTTTCTGAGCCTCAGGTCCTTGGCTGTAAAGGAGGGCCTTTGTTTACCGGTGACCTATGTGATCTAGAAAGTTTGTGCTCCTCAGTCTCCTTGCCAGACTCCTTTGTCTCTTCAGAGGAAAGATTGAGGTACAGATCCTGCGTCATTTATCACTGAGACTGCAGCCTTCTCTTAAAACCAAACAAAACTCTAGCCAAAGGGCAAGAGATCACAAGAGGTCCTGCTTTCAGCCTTGTAGTGACCTGGACAGGGCAGGATGGAGGCTGCAGGTGGTGGAAATCACCCCACCTTGACTTGAGCAGTGGTCACATAGGTGTGCATATGCCAGTTTATAAACTTATGCCCTTAAGACTTGTGAACTTGACTTACGTAAATTTTACTTCAATAAAAAAAGTAAATAAAAATTTAACGCTGCGGTTTTCCAGCTGATGTATTTTAGAGATGCATTTAAAAACCACAGAAACCAAACAGGGGAACAAAATAAAGTTCAAAAAATGGAAAATGGCACATCCACTTTACAAAGTACCTGTTCATGCGAATTATCTTGCATGATTCGCAGCAGTCTTTTAAAAGGAAATGTTATTATTGTACCTTTCTACAGATGAGAACATAAAAAATGACAGAGATTAAATGACTCACTGAGGAATTCTGAGCATAAGAAGCCAGGAACATAGACTTAAATTCTAAACATACATCATAAACAGACAATTTGAGGACACCTCAAATAGGGGAGAATATTAGCATGACAGATTTGTAGGCTGGCTTACAAGGACAGTAGTGTTGCTAGGTCTTTCTCCCTTGTTCCTCCCATAAGTCTGTTTCCATGTGATTGTGATTGTGACATTGTGTTACATTAAGTTCCCCAGCAGCAGAAGGGATGGAGGAAGTGTGTCTGAGAACGTACAGTTTTAGGAACAGGAGAAAGCCAGCTGGTCCAGCCTGGCAACGCTCTTATTTAGGAGATGTATTGTTCAGAAACTTCATAGTACAGGTTGTGATTTTTGCTGTCACTCCAACACACAGAGAATCTAGAACCTAGAAAAGATCTGGGAGACAAAAATGGGATTAACAATTGAAGAGAACATAAGCAGGAACAGTCAATTTTTCTTTTATTCTAGAATTTATAAATATATGTATTAATGCTAAAGCTTTAAAAACCCTACAAAAATAGTTAGGCAGAAGACAGAAAATTTGTTTTCTGTCGTGTGTGTGTGTGTGTGTGTGTGTGTGTGTGTGTGTGTGTATAAAACTTTAGAGCACAGCAAGATTATGTCTAGGGTGAAGTTTGTCCAAACACGTATTGTACTGATTTTATACTTTTGCCTAAAATTTAGAATTTAAACAAATAGAAACATGTTTGTTTTACCAGAGCTGAGTACTTGTTTAATTTTTGGAATTGTGAAGGTTTGATGCAGATGCTGGGTGAAGTGGGGGCAACCGTAAAGGTATCTCTGGGTGACTTCTGTCAGCCAAGTGCCATCAAGTGTGATTATGCATCACAAAGTTTCCTTTAGGCAAGTTTTGCCTTGTCACGGTAGTGTTCCTGCCATCTGGCTGCTGGAATATTTAGAAAGGAACCGTAATATTTGACTGGCTTTGCTGATAGCATGACAAAACACACTTGAAGAGGGAATTGTCAGATGAGAGTGGTATTTGGTGATAAAATGATTGATGACTTCTGGCTTTGCCACTGCACAGAACTGATGAGACATGTGCTGCCCAGCTGATGCACAGCAGGTGCAGCACAGGAGGAATTGTGTAGTGAGCTGCAGGGTTCAAGTGCCAAGGAGATAAAGTAAAACAAAGAAAATGGGGCCAAAAACCTGGACAGGCATTATGTGACTGAGGCACGGTAGAGGAAGATGCTCAAGAGCATCCTGAAGAAATATTCATTCTATGTGGGCAGTGTATGCCAGGGACACACTGAATCCGCAATAGTGGCATCCAGAGGAGAGGCCTGCCTGTGGTCTGTGAGTTACAGTCAGCCTGGACTTAGATAAAAGGAATCAGCAGCCGGTCTCAGAACTTTGAGCTTCTGGAGACAGGTGTCCACATGCATGCGTGCATCTGAGATAGCAACCATGCTGCTCCCCACTGTTCCTTAGGAGCTGGGAGCAACTCATTAGGGACCTAGGCTGAGAGCTTCATCTGTGCTCAGGGATCCCAAGAACCCTATGAGGAAGCAAAGTTCGCCTTCTTCCCATCCCAAAAAGGAGCGCTGAGACAAGGGCTAAGTTGGTCTCAGAATGATCAGTCATATCCTGCAGTGGTCAGTCCTCTCATGCTAGTCCCGTGATGCCCTTGTCCTCCCTGACTCTGCCTTGTCCTTCAGTTCCTGGAGGGCAGGGGCTCTGCCTGCTTCATCTCTGTTCCCAGCACCTACACTATAGCACATGATGGGTCCTCCCTAAATGTGGTTGGATGAGTGAATGAATGCATGTCTGAGCATCTTGAACAGTGGTTCAAGATGAAAACCTGATTGCTTTTTGGATCTTCTGTTTTAACTTTCATTGTTTCATTCTTCTCGGCTGATATGGGCTATTTAGCATCATTGTATGGATGAAATATATAATAGATTTTGCCCTTAGGGGTCGAGAATGCTGAACTCAGCTTGTAAGATCAGAAGGTCTCCAATGTTTCAAGAGATCAAACGTTGTTTTTTCTTTTGAATAATTTATGCTACTTAGAATATATGGATTTGAGTCTTCCATTTATCACTAACTTGCTATACAATCTTAGACAAGTTGCTAATGTCCGTGTGCCCCTGTTTCCTTGTCTGTAAAATGAGCATAATAAAAGTATTCATTTCACATGTAGCCTAAATAAGATAGGCTCAATACTGAAGAGAGTGCCTTATTTATAGCAATATTCAATAAATTACCAGAATTTTTATTATGATGATGATTTGTGCTTTGAAGGTTATTTACCCTCAATACTCTGTCCTATAAAGCATTTCAGGACTTTTCAAAAACAGGTTGTAAGCCAGAGGTGCAGGCCAATGGTAAGGCACTTGCCTGCTCTACCAGGTGTAAGGCCCTGGGTTCAATCCTCAGTAATGAAAAAATAAAGTAATAAGCAACATAAAATTAATAGGTTGTGATCTGGGCTAAAGGGCACACAGAGAATAAAGAGGTAATTCAGAGAACAAGAATCTATCATAAGGCGAAAGCATGTTCCACAGATATGATTTAAAAATGGTTAGAGCTTCCTAGCAGCCAAAACAAAAAGGAAAACACAAATAGTTACCCGATCCACAGCAACCATGAGATAAAAACAGATCAGTTACACCGCTTTTCCTGGTCCCGAAACCTGGGATAACTTTCCCCTGGCAGCCCTTCAAAGCAGTCCCTGTTGTCATAGAGATCCAAGTCTTCAGCATTTCTTGTCTAAGCACAATGCAAGTTTTGTAGCAGAGGAGTAAGCGTTTTCTAGAACTTTATGACTGAAGTTCTGGAGACATAATCCCAGAGCACAGCCCAGCAAGAAAGCTCCTCTCTGTGGTCCAGGGGCTTGCTGTTTTCTTAGCTAGGTTTGCCGAGTGCCTGCCAGAGTAAAAAGATTCTTGCTTTCAAAAAGATAATTCTCCTGAGTGTCAGATGGACAACTTTGTGTGCAAGAACACTGGTTCTGATTGAAGCCAATTAAATTAAGGACCAGATCAGTTCCCCTCATCCTGGAAAAGCCTGCACATACATTCATTAATAAGATTGCATAGTCATGAATTTTTTTTTAATGTTTATAGTTCAGAGTTTCCCTTTAGCTGCAGGTTTTATCACCCTATCTGGAAAAGAAAAAAGCACAGTGCTCATAAAAATAAATGATAGTGAATTTTTAAAAACATTTTTATAATTGAAATTATATTGTTTCAGTCTTTCTTCATATATATCCATATATATTTTACACATACTGCATATGTGTTCTGTATATATGGAGTGATTGAAGTGTCACGAGTGTTTAAATTTTTAAAAAATTTTCACAATCAAGGACACAATGCCATCAGGCTCCCCTCAGAATACTTCCTCTTCCTTCAAAGACCCTTATCCCATTGCTCTTGCC